TAGACATTTACACTGATAAATACAGTGTCATAATTTTTGGAATTAATACTAGCGCGTTATTTCATGGATCTAATAAGCTGCTGTGGACTTTCATTGTGAAGTGTCTTGGAATGGCTTATTCTTTGCAATAACGATGACTTGTGGATGAACTATTCAATGATTAGTAATTTGAGATTAAATTTGCAACTTGCTTTGGGGGGGAAAAATAATTTTTCTGAAGCTGTGTACTTTTAGAAATCTTCTAATTAAAGTCTGAGAAAGTACACTCATATCAAGGAGATTTCACTTTATTTAAGCGACACAAATTTGTGACATAAGCATAGAATGTCATCAATTTACAAAATAAAAATTAAGCTGCCTACTTTTATTGATTGTCAGTGTATCATGCATAATATTCAGGTGTGACATTCATTCTATATATTGACTCTCAAATGCAGGCTTCAGAATCACAACATGACTGCTAAAGGTGCCTATGAATATTTTGTGCTCAAGGCCCAAGACATAGCATTGTCAAAGAATTGGACTCCTGTGAATTGGTATAATCTTTATCTATATGGAAGTCCTGCATCATAAACTCTTATGTTCCCTCCTTTTGTCCTTGGAGGCACTATCTCCTGGGTGTATTCTTCTCTGAACTTGAAAAACTTTTGATGTATAATTTTGATAACGACAACTATTTTGAAGATTTAAAATGCCCTATCTCCTAGTATCTTCTATATCTATTATAGCATGCATTTATCCTAATGTCTTCTGCATTTTTTATCAAGTATAAACCCTACTTTAATTTAGCCACCAAGTTCTTAAAATATAGAGATATTATTTTTATATTCAAGTTTTTGTAATTTCTCAGGGAAGAAACCTTTAACACATTCCCATCAAAGCTTCATCCTCAAACCGTTGTGCATAACTGGTGAGTTTCCATCTGTTCCACCTGTTTTACTGTGGTATGAAACTCAAATATCACAATTTCAGAATTAAGACGTTCAAGTAATTTCTTAGGTTGGGTCCTGGGGTTTGTCCAAAGGCTGTTGCAAAAGGTTTCCGGTGCATTTTCAGTAACCAGGGTGTCTGGTATCTTGACCATCTTGACGTACCTTGGGATGTGGTCTATGCTGCTGAGCCACTTGAAGGAATACACGAGGACTCACAACAAAAACTTGTACTTGGAGGGGAAGTTTGCATGTGGGGTGAGACGGCTGATGCATCAGACGTTCAGCAAACCATATGGCCTCGAGCTGCAGCGGCTGCAGGTAATCATACCTTGCTGATAATTTGATGTCCTTATCTTATGTTCATGTCTCTACTGGTAAATCATACTATATCTTTTTAATTTTAGATATTCAGGTCCTCCTATCTGCAATTGGTAATCTAAAGTCACGTTTATTAAACAATTGAACATTTGGTCCTTTAAAGGATTTTTTTAATGCATATAATTACTGTTGCCTTTCGAAGACACATAAACCGAACGACCCCTCCTTGAAAGAATACAATTAGTCTTGCACATTGTCGAGAGTCTTTTCCTTTTATATGAACATAACTTTGGTTTTTATAAGGTGTGTATGGCAAGAAACACTCACAGAGGATTAAGATATGCAAGTTATATGAAGGGTTCATGGGGGTCTTGTAATCTCTTATGCTTTTGTCTGTTCTCTGTGATGAATTAGATATTAGCTAGTTTAAGTTCCCCCCCCCCCCACCAAAAAAAAAAAAAAATCTTTTATAGATATGAATATAACTTATTGCTCTAGTCTTATATGTATTTTGGTAAAGTGAAGGGCGGGTTGGGGTGGCAGGCTATTTTATTTGAAAAATGCAAGATTAATTTCTACTTGCACCTCGCAGAACGCTTGTGGAGTCAGAAAGATTCAACACAAACAGGAAATATCACCTTAACTGCGTTGCCGCGATTGCAACACTTCAGATGTCTGTTAAATAGACGAGGAGTTCCGGCTGCTCCTGTCACAAACTTTTACGCTAGAACTGCCCCTATGGGTCCGGGTTCATGCTATGAGCAATAATGCTTTTCAAGCTCTGCAAATGGAGTAGATCATCTTAGTCTGGCATGGTGGGGTAGCTGGTGTAAAAAGATTTGCTGGACTGATGGATGTGAATGGAGGCCTGATCTTTCTAGTAAAATAAGCAAAGTCATATTTTAATTTATTGTTATGAAGAATAAATCTTGTTGACTGTGCTTGCTTTTTCTGATATGTTATCAAATATGAGTAGTATGGCTGTCCTTTTTCCTTTCCCATTGATTTCGACTGTGTTTGCATCCTGTGTTCATACCTGACCGGGCCAACTAAAGATGAAGCGGTCTTACATTTGTGTCCAGTTGAGTTGGAATTGGACACCAAGAATCAAGAATTGCTCATTGTTAGCAGTTTCTTTTACTTATGCTGCAGACTTGGGTGGGTTTTGGGTAACTCATGAGGTAGTTTTAATATGTATTGGTGGCTGTTAATGCTTTATGTTAAACTAGGATTGTCTGAAGACGTTAAGGTTGGATTAGGCTTTTGAAGCTTTGAGCAAACAACCCATCTTCCACTAGGCTTCACAACGCCACCATTCCATTACTGCATTGGGAGAAAGCTCCCAAATTGTTCCCTGTCTAATTTTAATCTTATTAATTTACAACCTTATGATTACCTTCATTCAAAATAGCATTAGGATACAAAAGAACATGTTTTAAGGGTTTCTTAATGTAGTTAAAATTTTCTGAAGTATGGTAACTCTGAATGAGCAAACCCTATAATTCTTGAGGGAAAATGGAGTTATTTTGATCTTAGCTGTAGCTGCAAAAAGACTTGTGTTATTCTTGGGAAAATGACAGAGAGGTTCTAAAGGGATTAATTAATTTAAATTAGATTTTAGTTGTTAAATTTTAAAAATTTATAAGTTTGGTTTTTAATTTTGTAATTTTATTATGATGAATTTATAACTTATATTCTAAATTTTGATATTAAAAATAAATTTATTTATTCTTTAATTATGTTAAAATTTAAAAAATAAGTTGTAAATTAATTATAATGAAGTTGCAAAATTGAGGGACAAACTTATAAATTTTTAAAGTTTGGTATTTAAAATCTAATTTGAATTAATTGGTTATTTTGAGATTTATCTGTTATTCTGCCATTATTACATAGTCATTCATTAATGGTTGGTTTCATCTTAGGGGAATATTTGAAAAATGACTAATTAATAATAGTGATCAATATTATCATCAATATCAATATTCAATATACATTGTAAAAATTAGGTTTTTGGTATTGTACCTGTTAGGGAATTTTTCCTAGCTTTTTTTTTTTTTTTGCCAGCAAGGAAATTTCATTCAGCAAAAAGAGGTCAAGCCCTCAGAAATCATCAATACATGGAAATTAAACAACAAATGTTGCAGCTTAACAAACACTGATAGAAAATAAACAACAAAATAAAACTAAAGGAACATGTAGTAGCAAATTAATTAACCAATGCTTTCACGTTCATCCACCAGCACAATATGGCCTTCGCTTGGTTGTAACATTCTCAAGTCGTAAGAAAGAAAGAGAGCAAGGGAAGGTGGTGGTGAGGACACTCAACCCAAAGGCACCTCCTTTAAAGCTAATGTTGCTAAGTGATTTGCAGGTTGATTTCCTCTTCTAGAAACTAGAGAGAAAGATAGTGTTCTAAGGGACTCAATCACATCCAACAAGTCATGAACCAACATGCTACATTGCCAAGCACAAGAGCGTAGTGATCTGAGAGCACAGATGTTGAATGGTTTAGAGCAATCTATTTCAAAAATGCATTCCATGCCAGGCTAAGATTGGACAAGCCCAATAGCCCTTTTGACAACATATACTTCCGCCAGAAAACTAGGATTTGCACACATTTGATCTAGCCAACCTCCAAGGAAACCCCCATTAGAGTCACGAACCATGATTCCTATTCCAGCCTTCCAATCCACCATCTTATAAGCCCCATTATGAACATTATATTTTATTCAGATATTTTTTAAATTTAATAAAAATAATGATAAATAATCAAAAAATATATAAAAATATAAAAATAAAATTTAATCTTTTTTTAGTATTATATTTTCAAAAAAATAATAGAGTTTAATTTTATTTTAGATAATATTATATTAGTTAGGATTTTATTTCTTTTTGTTCATTAAAATAATCAAAAAATATAAAAATATAAAAATAAAATATTGTCCTTTTTAGGATTATATTTTTTAAAAAAAAATAATAATAATTTAACAAAATTAAAAAAAATCTTGCTTAAATCTTTTTAAATTTCTCCCAAATTATCCCAATCATTCAAAATATTGGGAGTTAATTTTTGAGAGTTAAACTTTTTCTCCTTAAATTTTATTTTTCACTTAATATGTGTGTGCGTGTGTGTTAATCTAATCAAAAAATAATAATAAAAATTTTAAAAAATAATACATGAGGATCGGGTGAAACGTTGATCCTCGGCATTTCATCACAGCCCTAAAAGGGCCTCCCCTTTTCAACGCATGCGAGCAGCAAAGAGAAGAAATCAAACGCCATGATAGAGCATAGTCAGACATAGACGAAGAAATTAGACGGCAAGATCAGAGGGCTACATGACAGAAAAAAAGGAAGCAAAACACACAGCCACAGCCAGACGAGACAGAGAAAGGGAGAGCAAAGCCCAAAGTTACATTACCTTTTATTAATTGTTTAAAAAAATCATTAGCTATATTAATTGTATTTAAAAATAAAAATTAAATTATAATATCTTTTATTAATTATGTTAATTAAGATTTTATTAATTATTTTTTATGATTGTAAATAATAAAATTATGAGGGATAATTTAAGAAGTTTATAATAAATTTATACTAAAAAATGTAATTTTATTTATATAAAAATAATTTAAAAGCGATAATTATTTTTATTTATAAAAATGGAAGGGGTATATTGTATGGAAATTCAAACCATTTTTCCTCTTCTTTTTAAAAGCCGCACGTGATCTCACAGCACAAGTCACTGGTCAGATTGAATCCGGCCAGGTTACTTTTGTAATTTCTCGAGTATTTATGTCTGTGGAAAAAACAACGGGGCGCTTATCGTGGCGATCACTAAACCCTAGCGTCAGTCGCGGCTGCAGCCCCCCTGTTTTAAAGGTTCGACCCATCTTCCTTCGTTGAATAATCTTCCTTGTCATCTTTAGGTATTCAAATTCGATTTTCAATGCCCTTTTCGTTTCCAAATCTGTTATTTCCTGAGAGTTCTGGATTGCACTTGTCTTGTACTATTTTGTATTTATATGCACAATTTTTGCTTTCCAGTTTCGTTTTTCCTGAATCGAACTTAATCATTATTTAAGACACCATTGGAACTGAATGCTTTGGTTTTGTAGCTTTTAACCCTAGGTTTTCGCCTGTGTTCTTTCTGTATCTTTCTGGTTTTGTACTTTGGTGGGCTAACTGGCTGCAATTTATATATGCAGGACCTTTGAAGAGCTACTGGTAAGAGTTCGCAATGGCTCCTTCAAAGGGTAAGTGTTATATTGTTTCACCGCCTTATCCCGCTACTTCGTAGCTTATGTCCTGCTTGTGTCGATAATGTAGAGATTTGTTTGTTCTGGTAAGGACTCCCTTTTGGAAGTTGCGATTCTAATGCCTACACAGTTCTAATGTAATTATTTCATACGTGACTTTCCTTTATTTCCTTTAATGTGATCGAGAGAATTTGGTTTTCAGTTACATTAGACTTTATATTGTGTATGACGTTTTGGAATTTTGGTGAACTCATTGGCTGTCAAGCATCAAGCTCTCTCTTATTGGTTGGAATAACATGTGAAGTTTAAATTAGTGATACCCGCATACTGCATTATATTCTACTTTTTCATTCAGGAAATCTACCTTTTCAGTGTTATGGGCCATGGCCTTCTTTTGTGCGAGCTTGTTATCATCAGTTATAACCAATTCCTCTCATGTTGTGATCCCTTAGATAATTTATCTACCGTTTTAATATACTGCTTGACTGAAATTGAGTAGTAAGTGCGGGTGATAACATCTAATTCATGCAAATGACCTGATGAATGTCCACGTCGTGTAGTGGATGCCGCCAAGAAGGCTGATCCTAAAGGACACGCCTTGAAGGCTGCCAAAGCATTGAAGTCAGGTGGCCCAGTGTTTAAGAAGAAAGCTAAGAAAATCAGGACATCTGTCACATTTCATCGTCCAAAGACATTGAAGAAAGACAGGAACCCCAAGTATCCTCGCATCAGTGCACCACCAAGGAACAAATTGGATCATTATCAAATTCTTAAATACCCTCTTACTACCGAATCTGCTATGAAAAAGATTGAGGATAACAACACCCTTGTTTTCATTGTTGATCTCCGTGCTGACAAGAAGAAGATTAGAGATGCAGTGAAGAAAATGTATGATATTCAGGCCAAAAAAGTCAATACTCTGATCAGGTAAACTACACTATGCTTTTAGAATCAAAATGTCGAGGTACTCTACATGTGTTGCTTGTTGTGGAAGCAAAACCAGATAGCTACTCACTTCCTTGGATCCCCAGGAATAGAATTGCAGTTCTTGCATGGGAATGATTTTGATAAAATTTAGAATTTGTGTTTCTTTCATGGCATTGTGATTGTGTGTTGCAATGCATATAATCTAACATATTGCATTGGGATCTTCTCGTGTGGGGATATTGCATGGCACTGTCACTTTTAACTGCATCTTTTTATAGGCATATAAATTAAAAGTGAATCAATAGATAATAAGATGTCAAATCAAATAACTACTATCTTGGATTCTGACAGTCGTTAATATTTACAAATTGACTTGTAAATGAGGCAAATGCTAGAGATGAAACGCAATTTAGATGATATGTAATGTTATCATGTGAAATATTTATCCTTTGACATTGGACTGAAGATTATTTAAATGTCGGATGTCCTTAACAACCTCCATAATTTGGTGTGATGCAGGCCTGATGGAACAAAGAAAGCATATGTTAGGTTGACACCAGATTATGACGCTTTGGATGTGGCCAACAAAATCGGCATTATTTAAGGCTTTCTGTCTAGAGTCGAGCAAAGCCAATCCATTTTTGCTGAGAGTTTTTTGTTAAAAATTTGCTTTGGGTTTTAGCACTGCTATGTCTATTTGATTACTCTTATGTATAACTAGTTCACATTCAATTTTGGTTATCTCATCTCATGAATCAAGTTTTCATACTAGTACTATTCTTGCATGATTTGTCGCCCTCTTCAAAATATTGTTTGGATATGCAGCTAGCATATTCGACCGACCTAAAATCTAGTTCTCATCGATTCTTATTCGTTATGGTGCCTTTGTATAAGGAGGGGTGGATTGGTTTCAGAGAGTTTCCTGGGACTGTAATTCATTTACTTGTGGCTCATATCGTTTTCATACGGAAGAGATTACCACTTTTGACGGAGTAATTATGGTTTTTTTCCCCGCTCCAGTATCATGATTTACGATACGGCAAATCACTTTCTTTTTTGTTTTTTGTTTTCCTTTGAATGTCTTCTTGCATTTAAAACGAAGAGTGATTTATCATATTTTCAATCATGATAAACATGTAGTTCAATTTATCCTTGATTTGGAGGAAGATAGCATGATAAGTTGATAGCTCCCAGAAAGTGTACATTCTAAATAGAAATAGGACGTTAGACATTGTGCAAGAGAGATTGAGTGGATAGAATTTTAAAAGGATGTTGAAGCATTGGGCTGATATGCCCCCGAGTTGATTGAAAAAATGTTATCTACTATAACAATACATGGGCAATTGGCCTTAAAAAAAAGAAGAAAACTTAGACTTAAAATCGGGCAGCATTCTCGAAGACGAAAGTTTATTATCTCTATCAGGGGAATCTCTACTATGAGAACAAATGAAAATGTAAAACTATACATTGAAAATTTTGAAGGATTCTACGACTGTCTGCAATCTCTCCTTCATCTTGTCCCACCTTCTCTCATTCGCTCCCGTTGTCAAGGTATAGAACTTCCCTGCCATTCATGCTTATTAGTATCAGTAACGCTTGTTAATAATATGCTACCACACGTTAATGATCTGTACCTAAGTGCTACATGATCATATTTTCAACCAGTTTACTTCCCTTTTTCATCACTCTTGAGTTTAAACAACCACAGCTTGAGGCCTTGAAAATATTTTTTCTCTATTACAGCTTGAGCTTAAACTTCTAATCAAAATCGATCAAGTCTAACTGTGCCCAATTTATCATTATATATATATATATATGAATATATGTGTGTTAGGAATGAAGAGTGACCATCTAAAAACAAGAAGAACACAAATAGCCAAGAGTAATAAAAAGATATCAAATCTTAACTCAAAACATGCAGACTCAAGTTTATGAGTTATTTTTTTTAATTTATATTAATTATTAAGTGTAATTTTATTTGATATAGGAGTTCCTACAAAGGTTCAAATTTACTTGGACAACCTAACAATATATATATATATATATTATGCTAACTAATTATGATATAACCATACTCTAGTAAATTTGAGGAAACTTATGATGAAGTCGAAACATCCAAAGCAAAAGATATAACCATACCATTGCCAATGGAGACAGTGCTGAGAGCGTGGCGAGTGTAATTAGGAGCCTGAGCAACAAACTCAAATTGATAATACGCTTTTCCCTCAACGTCTTGCTGTACCATTAAAACATGGTGCAAACTTTGTTATTCCACAAAGATGTGCACATCACGCAATGCAAATACAGCTCAATGAAAACAACCTTAACTCCACTTCCACAAACAAGAGAATGCTTAAAAACTAGTGACAAGGCTAGTTTATATTGACGTGGTAAACTATCCAAGGGTATGCAAGAAAGGTAACTTGAAAGCTTTCCTTGGTATTATTGCACAGGATGGATAAATGATGAAAGACTCTCAACTAAACTTTCCCAAATCCTCCGGAATAATTCCTTGCTTATATTTTTAGTTTTCAAGTTTCATAATTTCATAAGAGAAAGTTTTTCCAAACAACAACATCAGTTGAAGAGAGAATCTAATTGACAATATAATGAAACATACTGTTCACTATAAGGCGGTCATCTTTGAGCAGGAAAAAGTCCCATTCAAAAACTTTAAATACTATGAAGGGCAAAATTCACTCAAGCCAACCCTCGTCCAAATTAAAAAGGCTACCATGCTTGCATTAATTATACAGAAAATATTGGGTTATATTTTGTATGTGCATAAGCATTTCAGCTTTCCAGGTCATTTCTTTTCCCCACTTTAGCTCATTTTGTGCATATGTTAGGTTAGACTACCGTGTATACATACACTGAGCCAAGTGTGACACCATTTCCACCGGAAACCGAAAAACAGCATGGAAGAAGGAAGATATGATATTAAATTCAACTCTTTGCTAAAGTGGTAAGGAAAATACTGAACACCAGCAGTGACTAGTCCTGAGGTCAACTCTCAGATGAAAATACCAGAGCAGAATTGTACAGGGAATATCACAGGCACTGCTTATAGTTCTGAATCCAGATCAAATTTCAAGAGCATGCAATGCAACTGCATGGTCCAATTAACATAAAGAAAACAGAGATATTAGATATTAAACCTCTTTTGCCTGAATCAGCTTTGTTTTTTGGGTTGGAGGAGCCAAAACCTTTTTTATTAGAGTTTCAGCAACCTGTGAGAAAAGTAAGATCAAGAACACGTTCTATTTTCATTCAGGAAAGGGAAAGCCGGATCTGCTATAACACCAACCTGTTCAGGAGGTCCAAATTCTCGAATATCCAGTTTGCCAGTTGGGATCATATTTACACTAACACTTTCCAGTGGTTCAATGACATCTTTGAACACCTTATCTTGGCCTTCAATCACTATTTCCTGCACACTCCCCATTATGACTGGATGGAAGTAACCAACCCTAACTTCTATGAATGAATGGTGAACTAGCTACAGACACAACTCATATTGGAGCAGATATCATGTAACATTGCGCACCTGCCACCCAAAAGGGTAAAGAAATGAATATCCATCTTTCTTGTCCAATACTGACAAAAATCCTTTCTTGCTTTCTGCAGCAACTGAGACATATCAAGGGTTTACTCTAAAGATGTCAGCCATTTCTAGCCTTCTAGTCAAGACTAGTTTAGTACAACAAATGGAAAACTTAACTGCTTAAAGGCAATCTTACAGGAGTACGAATGTTGGTTAAACAGAAAAACCAAAGGGGCAGTAGTCCCAATGGCAATCATTTGGCGTCTTCCTGGCATTTCTGCAAAAATGCAAGAAAAAAAATCATCAAAATAATGTGCAGATGCCCTGGTTATATAGAAAATCCGAGAAAGCCTTTATAAGACAAGGATTTTAGTAGCTGCTTGTAACTTCGGAATATCCAACCTTGGCCTATACAATTTTGAGGAGTGTACTTTTGGTCCCTAATAGATCGGTGCCTCAATCGTTACTCGACTCAACCCTTATAGTATTTTATTTACTACTAACTAGTCACATATCTATCAAAATCAGCGAAAATATACATGTTTCAAGGATTAGCAAGAGATAAACATTGTTTTTTTTTTTTTTTAAAAGGCATGATATGCCTCTCACCTTTCATATTTGATGTTAATCTCTATTATAGAACGAGTTTCATTTGCAGTATTTATAATTCATTAACGCATTTTAAAAATAATTGAAGTTCATAAACTAATCCTTACGAGCTTATAGTTCAGCGAGATATAAATATTACAAAGCTTGTTTCTGCAATTCTCTGCAACTGCATTTCGTGCAATAATGCTTAATTAAATGAGTCACATGGAGTGCACGAACACATCTGTGAGGATTAATTTTTTATATAGGCCACCAGTTGCACGTTGCACCATGCAACTTAGCCCATAATTTAATGTACTGAAATTGACACACCAGGGTAAATTGTAGTTGGACTCATAAATCATAGGGAAAGTGCAATTTTCCGAAACAATAATGAGTAAATACATACACTCCACACTAGTGATCTGTCAACGACCAAGTTTAAGAGCTAGGACTAAATACTTGATAAAGGAGCTACCAATGAGAATGGACAAGTTGAACGAGCTGTTGGAGTGACAATGAGAGATTTGAAAATCAAAAGGCAATCAAATCAATTACTTCCTATATAGTTATACCCAGAATACTTTTGAATACCTGTAGGGGAAGTGGGTGGTGATGAATGTGAAGCCTTTACTATGAAAGTAATACTTTGTCTTCTACAGGAACGAAAATGAGCATTCTTCTGGTACTAGTCACATTTCAAAAGCCGAAGAAGAGTGAATGAAATTGTTACCAAGTCAAAGAAAAAAAGAACAGAGAGCGAGAGGGAGAAATAGAAGACGAAGGTACCTGAGGTAAAGAGTTGTGGAAGAGGGTTCGGTGGATGGTGGGGGAGTTCTGAAGAGACGCCATTGCTTGGAAGCGAGAAGTTGAGGGAAGAAGAGAGGCGATGGCTTTCGCAGCTTTCAATTTCAGTGGCGGAGGTGGAGAAAACCCCACGTAAGATGCAGAGTTATCCACATTCTTAGCGACAGCCTCTAATTCTGCGTTCTTTTTTACTTAATTATTTCCTACGTGGCCACTTAACAGGAACAATTTCTGATTTCTAATTACTTTTTTTTAATAAAAAATTACCTCTAATCTAATCCTTTGCTTTCCTATAAGTGGAGAGACATGTCCCACACATACATGCAAATATGCGTTCAAACTTTTCTAATTTCTAATTAATAACTTAGCATAAGATGAAAGTTTATATTTTAAAAATAAGAAATTACTTCACGTCTATTTTTTTTATAATTTATTTTCTTATATTCTTCTTTAGATATTTTTTTTTTATCTATGCGTCTTTGGCAACCAGTAAGTTCTCAAACAAAAAGTATGTCATAATATCAACATAGATGATGAAAATGTATTCTGGTACTTTTAATATAGGGAAATTAATTATTTTAAAGGACTATAAATTTTTAAATTACAGAGAAGAGGGATTTTTTTTAAAAAGTAAATGAATTAAAATGCACTTACGCAATTAACATATTAATTGTAGAATATTATTTAAAGATTCTTCCATTTGTGCTTAATAATACTTAAATTAGTTATTATTATTCAATATGATATAGTTGTGAAAAAATTCTTTTTGATTTTTTTGTATTCCCTTTTGTTTTCTCACTTTTTTAAGTTTCAAGACTAAAATTATTATTGTCAGACTTGTTCTATTTCGGAGGTCTTGACTCTTGACCGTGGATTAGATATTTAGATTTTGCTGTCTAGCGTTGATATTCTGTCTTCAATAAACATATGAAGGGATTGCATCCTTTTAAAAAGGTGAATAATACATTATTCAAACTCTTGTGACGAATGATTGCTACAAGCCACTAAAATTAAATCTGAAAAATAACAGAAGGGGGGGTGTAAAGGTTGAAGCCTTTTTTTTTTTCTTTTTTTCCACCTGCACTTTTTTAAAATATAGGGAGAGAGGCAGCCGAAAAAAAAATTAAAAGAAAATCAATGTGATATATGTTCAAGTATCAATTTTCTTTTTAAAAAAATATAAGCTTTGTTTTTAATCCTCATAGTTATTTACTTTTTTTTAATGTTTTCAGTCTTTATAGAGATTGAAAACATTAAAAAAAAATGAAAGTTATAAAAACTTAAAAATAAATATCACCTAATTTTTTTAAAATTATAGAGATTAAAAATACTAACAAAATTATAAAAATTTAAAATAAAACCTAATAAAATTATAGGGATTGATGATTCTGTTTTTTTTTTCAAAGTACATATTCACACACACACACACACAAAATCTGTTTTCAAATGTAAGAAAAAGTATGCATTTATCACATTTTTTTTTTTAAGTTGTCTCTCAAAAAGTCAATGTTTATTTTCATTAGACAGATTTGTTTCATTAACTACAGGGATAATCTAATTTAAATTTTTAATTTAAAAATTATTATTATAATTAACCAGCTTTTTTTAAACTACATAAATTGATTAGTCTTTCTTATATTTTAAAATGGAAGGAGTATTGTCTAATCTAATACTTTCTCCTATCTTCATTATAAGTCATCTTGTAGAAAAAATTTTGATGGTCAATAATATATTTCTATTTAAATTTATTGACTTCAAATTTAAAAATTTTTCATTTAAATATTGGCATGATTAGAAGTTTATTCTCTTCTCAAACAAAGGTAATGACTTAACCACTTTTTTTTAATTTTAATGAAGTAATTAGAGATGTCTTATAACAAAGATAAAAAGGAGTAATATTTATTTAAAAAAACATGTGAGGCTAGAAAAATGATGACAAACGTGGATAATCAACGCATCACGCAAGGTAAGTTTCATTCATTCACATGAAATTTTATATCCTATTCTAGACCATGATATAGAACATTAATAATTAATTCATGGTTTTTAAAAAATGATAGTTGAAATCTTGATTTATTAAAAAATTTACATCTTTTGAATTATACTCTCATTAAATACCTTATATATTTTAATAATGATAATTAAAATTTTAATGTATATTGTTTTTAAAAAAGAGTAATAGATGAAGCAAGGATAATAAAAAATAATTATAAAAATTATCCAATACCCTTTGGACCAAATAAAATTTCTAAAAAATAGCTTATATTATAGTTTGAACCGAACAAGACTTCTAAAAAATAGCTTATATTATAGTTTGAGGGAGTAATTGAAATTTTGAGGGAGTAATTGAAATTACTATGTAATAACTTATAGGAATCTTGATTGTGGTTGATTTGATGAGAAATAACTTAATGAGCTAATTAACCTAAACGTGAGATAACATGCAAATTTGTGGTCGATTTGAGTTCATCCCGTGTAGGCTTCTAATTAAAACCGACTTTCTAGAACAACTCTAGTCTTAGATTCTAGCTTATTATTAATGTTTGCTCCATTATCGCTGAATACTTTGTTGCTCAAGTTGATTGTTTCAATGTTGACCTGGCCTTTGAAATTTAATGTGTCTTATTGTCCATACTTTTCCTCACTTCCTCTTGCTATATTTTTCTCTTACACCAAAACTAGCCAGTTGTCCTCATGTTAATTGGTAAAACTTGCAAGTATATCATTATAACTTTTTTTAAACAAAATTGATTACTTATATTTTAAACAGCTGGATTATGTATAAATACTTGATCATTATTAGTTGTAACAATTGAGTAAAAGAGCATTTCTCATTGGTTTAGGTAGGCAAGTTAAGGACGAAATTAAAATATAAACGAAAGACAAAATGGGACTTGAGATGATGAGTGTGTGTGTGTGTGATAGAAGCAACTGTTGATTCATCGAAGCATTAGGATTGAATGAAGAAGAAACCAATTCTAAGAGGAAGAGGCCTTAAAGTCCAAGACTTGCATCACCAAGTTGATAGATCCTTGGACCTCATCTTCTAATGATGTCATGTTTTTAATTATTTCTTCAGCTGATAGATAAGTATGGCACGTGGTATCTGCCATTTCAAACTATTACTAAAACAGCTTTGCTGGCTAAAAACGTCCACGTTTTGGTCAAATTCACTACTTGTAAGTTGTAACAAGTTTACCATACTATATTACATTTATTGCTGTCATTATATCGTAATTTGTAATATAAAAATCATATATTGCAATTTTAAATAGCATGTAGAAATAGTATATTTATTTTATGATTACGTTATTTACACGAATGAGTTTTTAACATGGTCCATGATTGTGATTCTCCCTATTAAGTTTGGATTTTAAAATTTTTTTCCTAATTCAGGTTTTCTATTCTTTTTTCTTCATTCTTTTTACATTGTGTGGATTGTACTCATTAGTTGTTTGTGCATAATTTAAAACTATTGAACTAGGATAAGCTTGTCATTATGATTCTTTTCCCATCAATTTCAATATATATATATATATATATATTGTATTAAGATCATTATTTTTAAATTATTATAATTTTATGATTTGAGTAAAATATACTAACTCTTTTTTTTTTTTTCCACATTTTACCTTAATTACAAAGATCCATTAAAAACATATATAGACTTCTTTAAAAAAAAAAAATTTCACAGGGGCCTCCAATCTATTTTCATGATTCCATTTCCAATCATTCAAATGTTAATCCACTGTTAACTCACTAAATTTAACTGTCTTTCTTTATTAAAAATATAATACCATCTTTAATACATTTTTTTAAACCTTTTAACTTCCAATTAGAAAATTGACAGGATTTCAGGCAAAAAAAAAAAAAGATAATTGACAGGATATTGGAATATTATAGCCAGTATACCAAAAGGGAAAATTAATCGTTTCACTTTATTGTTATAGTTTTGATTTGATTGAAATTCAATTTCTAAATTTTAATTCAGTGCAACTTAGTTCCCATGCTTTTAACTATTTAGAATATTCACTCTTATATTTTAGAAAGTAAAATTAGAATAATTAAAGTTATTTCTTGAATATCAAAGATTAATGTTTTAAATTACTAAGACTACAGGAATTGTGTTTTACTGAGTTGAAGACTAGAAATTGAATTTCAATTGAGTAAGATTATAAAAAATTATATTATTTATGAATTAAAATTATAACTGAATCAAAATTATAAGAGCATATAATTAATTTTTCCACCCAAAGAAATAAACTGGGAAAGTTTTAAAAAATACGACACATATTTTAGTGCCGCCGGAATACACTGTTTTCTTTCTTGTCGTTTTAATTAATGGTGGAAAAATCTTGATAGATTTTTCATGACAGCATTGGAGCCTCCAAGCTTGATCAGTGATCAATATAATAAAATGATATAAATGCCGCTCCATATATCTTAGTGTTATATAAAAAATTTCATTTTGAAAGGGAACGACAACTGCATTGAACTGGTCCACGGGTTGAAATCAACAGGGCCTCATTGAATTAAGCCCTTAGACAGCAACCGAAGCAGGGCAATATCATAGCCAAACATGGCAAAGTTCTATATAAAGTCAAAAGCCGCAGAACAGAGATGGTCCGTCCATCCACTTCGCTTTCTTATCTTCTCCTAGTCCTCTTCCTTCTATTCACTGCAACTGTTTGATGTAATCACTCAGACAAGTATAATCAAGTTCTTGAGCAGCAGCAGCTTCCATGGAGGACACCTTTAGCAGTCTGCCTGATGAAATACTTTGCCACATAGTTTCTTTTCTGCCAAATGAATCTGCCCTCTATACCAGCCTTCTTTCTACTAGGTGGAGGGACTTGTGGAATGAGACTTTGCTTAGATATGGAACTACCGAAGATATGGCAGATTCTGTTGTTGATTTCCTTGCTCGTTTTGAAGAGCTTCATCCATTAAAGCATCCTAGAAGGCTTCAATTTTACTATGGTGAAACTGAAGACTCTCTGCTCTTAGCATCTATTGCTACTAACAACAAGCTTCTTCTGGATTTCTCCAGCAGGAAGAGAAGGGAACACCCTGAAGGGCCTCATGAGATGCACTTGAAGCTCAATATTCAGAATCCTCAGTCATTTCCTCCTCCTACTTTCTTAATCAAGACGCTCTATTTGAAATCTGTTTGCTGTTTGACAAGTGAGGTAGTTTCCTCCATTGTTTCAAGCTTGAAGCATCTCGAGAGCTTGATAATCACTGGCTGTGCTGGATTGGAGTCTCTGTGCATAGTCGATGGCGAAACAAAACTCCTCAAGTTAACCATTCTTGATTGCTTACAGTTGAAGTCTGTTCAACTTAGAACTTGCAGACTCAAATTTTTTAGGTATAGAGGTTTGCTTCCTCGAATTTTGGCTGAAAATTTCTTCAATCTCGCGGATGCCATGCTCGATTTCAGACTTGGCCATATCTGCTACAGCTTCAAGACTGAAGATTTTGATACAACCTTGTTAACCATAAAGAACTCTGAAGTTCTTACTCTGTGTGAATGGAATTATCGGGTATGCTCTTCTCCCACGTTTCTGTGATGGTTTTATTCTTGTACTGTGCTTTTACCACTTTTTGCTGCATTGAAAAATTGTCCTGACTTTAACCTAACATCTTTTTTTACTCAAATTATAGTCAATGTTAGGTTTTGCTTGCCATTTAGCTTGGCAGGGAAGACCATGTTGAGCGGTAACTGTAAAGGATATTCACATATCATGCTTCTGTCAGAGAACTTATATGAAACACGTAAACAAGTGCTTCAAGATTTGCTTTTTATTCAATTCTTCACTAATGTCTTTCGCTCTTTCCTTACTGGTGACTGAAATATGAGTAATTCCAAGAAGTCTGGTCGTTAACATACAATCTAATCCTTAATAGGGTGTCGTTGCAGGCATTAATTTGGCCATCAATTTCACCTCAAATTGAAAGCTTTATATTCTACAAGTTGAAAGAGTTATGGTGGATTGTTGAAGATGGACAAAACAGTAATGCCTTAGTGTCCTTCTTGAAGCTCTGCCCTGCTTTGGAGAAACTTTATGTGACAGTAAGTGTCCTTCTTAAATTTAATCTAACCTCATCTTGGAAATAAATGAAATGGTCATAGCCTTAATGACCAACAAGATCTGAAAAAAGTAATTGTCTATGAGGAGGTTCCGTCAAAACTATGAGCTTTGTGTCTATGTTTTGAGTGAAGTGGACAATGAAGTTAGCGCAGATATTAGGTTCTCGATGCACATTAGCATTACAATATTTTCTAATCTTTCTGATTTTTCTTTCCTTATTTGCAGGTTGATCCCGAGAGTTATTTCACATCAAACCCGGCTTCAAGCTTGAAGGAAGCAACCAAATACAAGAAACTGGAGCATCTGAGGCTTGTTAAGCTTATGGGGTTTACAAGGAAGGAAGACGAAATCTCACTGGCAAAAGATTTGGTTCAGCTAGTGAAGGCAAAGCCTTCAAGGATAGAAGCATCAGATGGAAGTTGCTTGCAGTGTTTGGGGAGTGTTTCAAGGGAACATGACGAAACATGTGACGAAATTAATTTGTGTATCAAGCATCCTCACATGAGCCTGTAGTCTGTTGACAAGATAGATAGATACGTGTTTGGGTATTGTAGTTTTTTTTCTGGCAGCCTATCTATAAGATATTTGAGCTCAAGATAACTTCCAAGCATCAAGTTTTGAATGAGCTTGTCTTAAAAGCATACCTAGATGTATTTATTTATTTTTAATATATATGTCTTGTATTATAATAAGGTTTCTATTTTTTGAAAAATTAGAATATCTCTATGCAAATGTTCGTAGATTCTGTTTTCTTTTGTTAGAATCACATGTAGTTCATGTTTTATTAGTTAATTTCTCTGAAACCCTTAGATCCTTTTCTGATATACTTTTTTTTTGTTTTGGAAAAATGAACATATCACTCATATTTTAAAAAGTAAATCTCACATGTACCTTGGGAACTCTGGCAATTAGAGAATTATTAATAAACTTCAAAATATCACTCATATTTTGTTATTGGTTTAATGTTTTTGGTCATTCACTGAAACAAAGTAGCCATTGTTTTAATTATTATAGTTATTGTGGCAAAAAAAAAAAACATCAAAGTTATTTAATTCTAGGGATCAATATTTGATTCCAAAAAAAACTCTTGGGAGCAATGAACTTGTAGATTGATAAAATAATTATAGGGAAATTAGTTGCTATTGGTTAAGTATTTTTTGTTATTCACTAAAACAAAGTAGTCAATTCTTTAACCATTATCGTCCTTCAGCTCCGGCACCAGAATATCGGATTTCCAATCAATAAAGCTATGACGGCCACTGATAGTAGAAATTTTTTTAAAGATGGGTAATATGGTTATTTTAAGAAAAATATATCACAAGAATTTAAAAATAATTAACTTAAGGAGAATCACACATAAAAAATGATAAACAATGTTATTTGCAAATAAGGATAAATAAGAAATTGATTATTGTTAAAACATGAACATAAACTTTTTTTTTTAATGGTTATTTGTTGTTGGTTTTTGTTGGGGAATAACATTCTTGGACTGTTTTTGTATGTGATTCTCCCATTAACTTATTTGACGACCTTTTTCTGTAACATACTTACTTGACGGTCCTCATATGTCATACTCCGTATGCAAAAATTTTAGGCGGGGGGCAAATTGTAGTTGAAAGAATCTAAATTTTGTCCAATGTTCATGCACATTATTCTCTGGTCTTGAGCAGCCAATAAGATAAGGAAATAGAAGGTTCCATTTGACAAAGAGGAAGTAGTTGCAGTATTTGGGATCATCTACCTTCGAGGCCAAGTTGTGATGAGCAATTTCTACTACATATAACTTGTGAAATTGTCAATAATCAAGTCTTAATCATGAATTCATGATCCATGCCATTCAATTGAATTTGTCAACCAACACAACCAAGTCAACATTTTATAAATGCAAGCCCCCACAATTTCTTTTTTTAATTTGCAATCCTTATATTCGCCATCTATGTTTATAACCCTCCTTCTTTCATACATTTTCCTTCATGTATTCAAAATTTTAGCTTTTTATTATCCGAGTTGAAAATTAAATTGGGCTTCATTTTCAAGTCAGGACAAAATAATAGATATATTTCTCAAACTATTATCGTGGCTCTCATACTTATCAATGTTGGAAACTGACTACAAGCTTCCTTTGAATTTAAACATTTGATTCATCTATTCCACAGGAAACTTGTTTTTTTTTTTTTTTAATTAACGATGTCATTTGGTGATAAACGTGACCTCATTTTGTTGAAGTTGAAAGGCCTTTTGCGTATGCATGCTAGGCGTGGAAAGTGACAATTTTTAATCTTTTAAAAATTAAATCATTTGAAGTGAAAATGTGAATCATGATTTAGTTGGGTCAATTTGGACTGTCAAATTTAATCCAATTTAATTTATGGGCCAAAAAAAATTTTAATTTACTTTTTATTTTGATAAGTGAAAAATCTTAATTAAAACTAATATTATAGCTATCATTTTTAGGAGAAAGTATAATTTAGAAGCTTATAACATCTAAATTAAATTTAGAAGGTGCATATCTCATCACAATAATCCAAATATGTACAAAATATAAGAGGCTTTAGCCACATTTGGCACTACTTAGTTGCTCGGGCATCTCTCGAAGCAAGAATTGTTGCTCCCTTATTATTATGATAGAATGATAAATAAGGGCCTCATAAAAAAATTAATGTCAAGTCAAAATTTATTAAAAATTTTGACACTTAAAATTAAGAGAAAAAATATTAAATTTGAGAACTTTAATTGTAAAAAATTTTAAATTAAAATTAATATTTTTTAAGGTTTTTATTTTTCATTCTCCCCATTATTAACCACTAAAAATAAGTAAATACCTCATTGAGTTTGAGTGCTAAATAAACATAAATAGGTTGGTGCTAGAATATCTAGCTACCCATATGGGCTTCTTTGCTTAAAGAAGGAATAGATAAAAGGCGGGACCCAAATACAAAGGGACTTATGTCTTGGGCTAGCTCATAATAATTGGGCCCCAAATTGATGAGCATGAAGTGCTGCTTTTACGAATTTCTTCAACACGAGCCACTTACGGCAGAAATCTCTCTTTCTCGTATCTCCCTTCTTCCGCGAGATCAAAATCTGAGGATCTGAGGACTATGGAAGTGAAAAACATCATCAAGGATAAGAAATTCTGGTTCGCCTCCTTCCTTATTGCCTGGGCTGCTGCTCTCCAGGTTTGAATTTTGCTTTGTGTTCTCTGTTCCTCCCACTAAAATTGCCCAACTAATCTGTTAATGTGCGTGCTCTTCGTAGGGCCATATGATGTGGATGCAGAGGCAGGACTCCTTCAAGAACAAGTTTGGGAGCCTTGATCAAGATAAGGACGTTCAAAACTGATGGGTACGAGTCACGGCGCGCAAACCAAAACTCGAAATCTTTTTTTTTTTTTTTTTTTGTGTGGAAGAAAGTTCATCTCTAGCAGTGAGTCGAACTCTTGCTTACTTAGAATTGCTTTTCTGTAGTACAATTGAAATGTTGGATAATCTGGAACCTGTACTGTTTGTATGATTCATCTCGGGAGATTAGGATAGAGAAGTGTGAAATACTGAATTTGACCTTCTAAATATTCGACTTTCTATTTGTTAGTCTGAATGACTTTAGGAAGGCCTAGGTCTATCACAATGTGATTCTTACACTACCTTTCTCCCTTATGGGGCTTGGCAAACTCAAATTTTCTTAATCTTGCTTGGCTATTGAATATTGTGGGGAAGAAGGATGGGGCAATTAATCGGGAGTCATAATTTACTCAGATGGTTATTTGAAAATTATAAATCTTGACAAAATGATCATTGGAAAAAGGTTGTTAATTTAAATATAATTCCTATCGTCTTCTTGAGGTAAATGGTTCTTTTTCCATTTCACTTATTTCTCCACCTTCACAGTTTGAAAATATTCAAGTAAATGTAATATTTTCCTTTTGGGAAAAACTTTATACCCAACCTTGTATACTTAAAATGCCTGTTTCCAATTAAATCAAACATGTATATCTTTTATATATTATTTATTTTATAATAAATTCTTATTATTAATATTATTAGTACTTTAAAATTTATATGTCTTAATTTGATTGGATAAAAATATATTAAGTATAACTAAGCATATAAATCTTGTCCTTTCCTTTCCCCCTAATAAGTCTACTTCAGCTTACTTTTCTTAATCAGAGTTATCATGTGAACACTTCAATTTAAAAGCTTAGAGTAGTAGTAGTTGTTGTTTATGTGCTCGATGTGTCAAAAGTTTATAAACATATATGCATGCGCAAAGAAGATTGTCAAATGCTTTATTCTGGACGTACTGAGATAAATTTGCTGTCTTGCAAGAAGCTTTAAATTTTCTTGTAGGTTCCCCCTTCTTGATACACTCAGGGTTTTCCAATATCTGAAGCAGTTACTCGTTTGGTTGCCCAAAACTTCGGTGATCGAAGGCAAGGAGTGGAACGAGGATGATTTATCTGTCTTCAATGTACTCATTGTTCTCTTTGGCCAAAAAAGTACTCAACGTTCCAATGCTATAGTATGTTCAGACAATATCATTAATTGCTCAGTGTCAAGGTAACTCTGATGAGTGCTTGACTACTTGGTCGTCTTTTGTATAAAGAGCCAAGTGATCTAGCGCACCCTCGGTTCCTGCTATAAAAGAGGTTCACTGTGGGAGAGTCAGCTCAGTTAGGAATAATATGTTTACTGAAATGGATCCTCAAGTTGAGGAGCACTTTTGGAGTAGAGTGAAAATGTAACAGGTTGATGATGTGGCACACATCCTTACCTTAATTTGGATGGGAGGAAAAAAGGCACGAGAGAATATTAGGGGGAAAATTTTCCAAAATAGTATCATTTTAATACTTCTAAAAGTTTCGTCTCTTAGTATTCTGTCTTCCTGATTTTTCATCCTCTCCAAATGAGAATATCTTGGAGAATATAATTTGGAATACATAATACACCTATTATAATTGGGATGGGGTGGGTCTTCTAGAAAGTGGACCCGAGCCCCGTCTTGTGTTGCAAAAGTCTCATCCCATTCTTTTTTGGGTTGAGATAGACCTGTCTTAGTATAATTTGGAATGATTAAGATGAGTTTGGGCGAATTGGGACATTTACCTTGTCATGAACAACTGTTGTCAAGATGTGCCTTTGTTTGTTTCTATTTGTCTTCAATTGTGTTGGCGTATACATTGCAATGTATTTTTAGACCCTGCCTTTTGTTTTTTCTTATAAAAACAAATGAGTGAGTTGAGTTTCAAAAGCTCATAAAAATTAGGATATACTTTCAAATACAAAAAACATTTAGAGAGGTATGAACAGATTGCCCACAAACAAAATCAATATATTGACAGGGAAATTTAATTTCACAATTTATTATGAGTTAAATTCTACTAACTAAATTAACCTTTGTTTCAGACCTTGTTGTTTAATTAGAACTTGTGATTACACTATTTTTGGGCCTATGATCTTTTTGGGAAGAACATTCAGGCCCAAAAGGCTTTAGGGCATAAAGATGTAAAATACTAAAATTCAGGTCAAATCCTAAAAGAATAGTCGATGAAAAAAAAAATAGTTTTTCCCAATAGAAATCTCACCTGCCAAGGAATTTAAATGTAAAAGATGGTTTGAAATAATTGAGCATGATGAACCTATACAGATTTTGGTTGTGATTTTATACGTATGAAGATGCGTTTAATGTAATCAAT